ATTGGTTGAAGTGACAGATGGGTCAATTGAAGGTGACATCTGTCTTCACTGTGATATTAGTGTACTAAATACATACCAGGAGCTTCATGATGATGGCCTCTATTCTCTTGCGTATCATTCCACGTGAAATAGTCCAGTTCTGTTGGTACACTAACGCATTAACTGAAGGCCTACTGCGCTGCCGAACTACAGTGGTTACACGGACTTCAGTATGCAGTAGTGTTCACCGCACAGGACATAGGCCGATTCGGAAATTGAAGTTTCGGAACTCTTACAAGATCGCCCGGGCATATGAGCGCAACATTGCAGCGAGTGGGGTTTGGATAGGTCCCCTGTTCTTGCGAAATCGACCAGTGACGTCATGCACACGCGCATGCAGTAGATAATCGGACCTCCAAATAAATCCGTCTCAATCGAGATTTTATTTTCTTGACATCCCCAAATTACACCTACGTGTTTTCTCGCAAGGGTTCTGAAAGGTTTGTGTGGCTGTAAAGCTTGGTCTTTCGCACAGAACATAAGACTGAGGGCCAGGACAACCACCATCCTGACTTACGATTTTCGTGGTTTTCCTCCGAAAATCAAGGCAAATGCGAGGAGAGGATCTGAAATTGGATCAAGACCGCTTCCTTTCAGATACTTTCAATTCATTATTCACCGTGTTTGACTCTATACAGCATGAACAGCAAAGTTGCTGCAGACTGACAAGTGGGTACGAACGTTTCGGAGTGATATACTCTCTCAATCTTCAGGATCTTCTGAGTTATGACACCTTGATTTTCGATAAGTGGATACGAAAGTTTCGGAGGGCTACACTATCTCCGTCTTCAGGGTTATATATTGTAGTCTTCTGAGCTAAAACAGCTCCTTGTCTGGTAGGTAGGTCCGAACGTTTCGGAGGGACAGAGTGCCTCCATCTTCAGGATTCTATATTGCGGTGCTCTTCAGTTATGCTACCTTGCAACCTGTCAGGTGGACACCAACGTTTTGGAGGGACATATTACCTCAGTCTTCTAGGTTTGTATTGTGAATTTTGGGGTTGTGATACCGTTCAGTCTGATAGGCAAGTACAAATATTTCACGAAAATATATTGTGATGGTGAAGTGATAAGCGCGAAAGTTTTACACTATTCAGTAGCAAGAAGCCAGTTTATTCTTTACATTTAATATTTAAGTCATAGTTCCAAGGCAAATTTTCTTGCCAAAACTAAAAAATTCTGAAAAATTATTGATTTTAGCTTTGTTAATAGTTTATTGCTGACGTTGACTGGATGTGGGTAATGTGTCCGACTTCTTGGAAGTGTATACTGTATCCAGCTTGAGGGCGGATGTGAGTTGCACAAGTCAGTCTTTGCGTATATATTTTGGTCCAGTAGACACGTGGGGAAAAGAAGGGCAGTTTCCCGGTTCGGTCCCAAGGGGAGGGGCTAGGAGAATGTTATAGAAACCGGTCCTTTTAAACACCACCGAGAGGTCCATTTTGGTTAATATTCCATTACCCACCTTTCCTATTAACCTTGGCCAAGTACCAACCCCCTTTAGAGGAAAGACGTCCAATGGATTGACCACATCACTCTCGAGTTGTTATATTCTCCTCTAGTCTGTTCGTTGTAATGTTGGCAACACATGACAATCTTTGCTAGAATGGCGCACAATATCATCCCCACTATCCACGGGACTCATTTACGTGGCTTCAGTATAGCATAAACGTTTTATGAAACACAACAGAGTAACAATGTAATTCTTCAAAGTGTTCTGTATGAGTGAAATGTTATCCCTTACTCTTGCTTAAAGGAGGAACAAACATTGCAAGTACGTATGTAGTATTACTGGGTTTCTGCACTTTGTCCATCGTTCGGTATTCTGCAAAACACACTTTTCGGAATCCGTTCGCATCTTCAGGAGAAGATATGAAAACATTATGTTGTGTTCAGAGTACTCTATGATAAACAAACTTAAAGGACAGCCGTGTTTTTACCATGTCAAGGTAGCATAATCATTACTTCTAATACTACACGTATGTCTAATATGCAATGATTAGAAACGTTTTGAATTAAAAATCGTAAATATATAAAACACTAATGCTCAAGAAATATTGTGACACGAGGGCCGTTTCTAGGAAACGAATGGACAGATATGTTGCCACGGAGGGATTGATTCCAGGAAACCAAGTGATTACGGAACACGGTTTCCATGGATACGGAAACTGAAAGTTGCAAACACATAGAAAACCGAACCGTTGTTTGGAATTAACACACGGTTTCCGAGGAAACGAATTCATGAAGAACAGGAATGGAACATTTAGAGGCGGTGATCTCTGTTCGGGCCGCGTGGAAGTTATAAAAGGGAGTCCATTCGTGAATTCGGACAGGAGTCAGAGACTCTTCATAGAGATTCGTCCGACAGACGTCGTTCAGGAGGAGTTCAGTGTGTGAGCTCTTATAATTGTAAAGAAATTCCAGTAAATACAATCATCATATCGAGAACCCATTAGCATTAGTCACGCCAATCCCTAATGCGTGACAGTATTTAGGACAAAATGGGCCAAATGAATACTCTAAAGTAAAGCACTGAGAAGAACTTAATGATTTATACATGAAATGCAGGGGGTTACAATGCACGGGACATGTAGCCAGGAAGTAAATAAAGAAAGGCGCAGGGAATTTGTGTGGAGTAACATCTTGGAAAATAGGCATTTTGAAGGCAGCGAAAAATCCGAGAAGATGTGAGTAGATCTTTGGGATATTATAGACATGGGAGGCAGTGGAATCTGGCTCAGGATCGCGCCCAAAACCAGGCAATATTTAACACGCCATTCCATGTCATAACTGCTTAGCAGGAGCTGGCTTCTCACTCTGGAGTCTTAGGTTCAATCTCGGGTGACTGCGTGTGATATTTATGGCGGATAAGTGGAAATAGATCCGTTTTTCTTCAAGTTTCTTCGGTTTTCCCCTGATAGTCATCATTTCAGTACTGCTCCATATTCATCTGTCATCACCTCCAGAGGCTGTTATAGCCCTGGTCACGCAGGGCATTATCATATTCTCAGACTTAAATTTAAGAGGCTTCAGCTCCTGACCCCTTGCTGGTCACAGAGTAAAGAAATATGTTTCCTTATAAATGAAAAAAAAAATTAATATCCACAACAGAATTGATAAGCGATAATATTTCCCGTCACTTAATTAATTAATCACTATGCTATGAAGCTGTATGGAGAAATTGAGTTATAGGTTCATGTATTTTTAACCTCAGAACTAGGTCGGAGTTGGTGGTGAGCTCACGCTTCGGCCAAATTAACCCTTGGAAAAAAGAATATGATACCCATCTGACAGGAGACTGCCTAGACGGGAGAGCTAATCTGAACTCTGCAGAGAGAAGAAAATTCCTTGCAACAGCAGGAACTCGAACCAAGGTTCCTTGGCCCTCAAGACTTTCTTAGCTAATATCAGTGGTAAATAAATCTAAATACTGGAAGTGTGTTCGGCTATTTAATTAATTCAGCAGAAGAAACAAGAGTTGACTTTAGAATCTTGGAAAAGCGTTTGCAATAGAGGAAAATGGGGAGGGGGGTTGTAATGGATGCCTTTCTTTTAATTTCTCCGCGACTGTATGACAGTTCAGAACTTTTGAATAATTGAAAGAAACATGCGCAGGCCTGCTCTTTATATTACTGCTGTTCTGAATTTATCCGTCGCCAAATATTCTGGCTAACCCCAGCTCTTTCTAAGTTACCAAACTAAGTACCTTTCCATCTGAGAATAGAAACAGATCCAGTTTCCGAAATGTTGCGTTAGGTTTGGAATACTAGATGAAGTACAAAGTCCAGAATGCCAGTAATACTAACAAAAACCATCATCAGAGCTCCTCAAGTCTGGACCCAGTGTGAGATTTATCTGTGACATCTTTAATCCGGACAGAAAAATATTGTTATTCATTTGCAATTCTACGTCACCAAAGAAGTCAGGTTTCTCTGTCCTACAAGCTGGGGAAATTAGGTGACAACATGGTGGATGATAGAGGAAAGACTCGTGTTCAATAACCTGTAGGTGGTTTCGACAAGAATAAGAAATTTCCTGAAAAGTACTATCTTCTGGGATGTGTACCGTGTAATCTGGTAGAATGTTGTAACAGCTGAGGTCATCATGGCAGTAACTATGAAAAGTACTATCTTCTGTGAATGTCGTGCCGTTTAGTCTGGTAAAATACATTCAGCATACTGGAGGAAATTGCTGCCTCTTCTTCACCGTTAAGCAGTGAAACAGGAAATCCGCTTACTCACTCAGCTTACGCCTTGTGCCTGAGGACGTACACAGTACTCTCCTCCAAAATTAAATTCTACCAGACTACACGGCTTCAAACAGGCGACGAATTCGAGAAGTTAACACCTCTCCTTCATGTTCTGGATTTTCCAGGTTCATGTCTTGGCTCAGGAACCAGTTATCCTGAGTGTTTTCAAAGTTTTCCTTAGTTCTCCCAGGATAATCCCTCAAGATAATCCACGACCACTTCCTCACATATCCTTTGCAATTTATTATCATCACAATATTCGACGCTATATAATTTGATCTACTAAGATAATCAGTAGATAAATTACATGATTACATCCCGGAAATATTGCTCTACGTAGAAAACCCCTGCTCGAGGACTGTCACATTATAATGGAGAGGAGGTCTGCGAGCCCCAGTGACCCGGAGAGCTATGCTGGCGGGAGCGTAAGCTCCTGGTAGGGCCACCCATGGCACACACGTCAAAGAGTAGGGGCCAGACGAAGTGCAGTCCCTGATCCTCCAAGTTGGAGGTTGAACGTGGGGCTAAAGACCCCACGCCGATAAAATTAACTGCTACGAAAGAAAGGAGGAGACAGACAGCAAGTCCTTCAGACGTTGGTGTCTCCCTACACAAGATACATAGCAAGCTGTAACCTGCTTTGTCTTCAGGACAGTTTGCCGCGTCCTGACTGCCATATTGTCCCAGTAATGGCCAGATCAACAGTATCTTACCTCAGAGGAAGTGAGATAGCAGAGGCGTGAGTCCGTGCTCTCGATGGATGCCTGCTGCACGATGCCATAGCGGGATTCCCGGTCACTCATGTAGTCAGAGCGTAGGCTGTCCTGTCGGTCGAACAGGCCCCTGCACAACCACACATTTCATCAGAAAATGACATGTAATGATGGGCGCCAGCAGGGGAGTAAACTACATACCCAAAACTCAAAATTGGAAAGTGGGAAAACGGAAATAGACCATATATTACAAAATAAAAACTAAAATAATTGTTTTAAATGTAGTAAAAATAGTTTAAACGGCTTAAATATTAGTTTGTAAGCAATTTTTCTGGTTGTCATCCGTTTACAACTGAAGGCTACCCCTGGAAGACTGACTTCACCACTGGAAAGAATGCTGGAAGCTCCCAAGCCCGCACTAACTTGAGGAATGGCGTTTGTGGAGAGTTCATTTGATAAATTGCAGTGGGTGCCTATGCTGAAAATATGTTGGATATGAGATTCCCAAATCGGTGACTATGAGGACTATTAACCTACAGTTTGGTACGAGTACACCGACGCTTTAGAGGTCCATAACGCCTCCACCATCAAGGCAGAAGTGCAATCCAAGCAGGCAACCAGAACTTCCTGCATGCAATTTGTTGGTTGCTTGACTGGGCTAATGTTTTGGTCAGTCTTCAAGCCAGGATTATTGTTGACCCGGCATAGATTCGAACCGGGAACTTCCACAATACAAGTCTGAAGCGTTACTGCTTGGTGAATGAATGAATGAACTAAGGAAGGCACAGCTCTGTGACAGTGACAGGTACTCGCCTCTGTTCAAAGGAATCGGCGCGGTTGGACTTGTAGCCACTGTCACCCAGGCTGCCTTCGTGTCGCAGTGATGGCAGTGAGTCCCAGGGTGAGCGCTTGTGAGTGCTCTGTACGGAGCCCGACCTCCAGCCATCGGAGTGCCGGAACCACTGAGCACGGGCTGACTCCCCCAGGCAGGATGTGCACCTGTGACAAGTGTTGCAGAATTACCAGGCGTATTATTCGTAATAACCGTCAACACAACACATTCGTAATAAACCCATATTTATATTAATTTGTTATATATTTCGGTCCAGCTGGGTCATCATCAGGAATTTTCATGTACTTCCTGAGGCGGTCAAGAAGTTCCGTGGAGATTACTAGCATATGGAATGTGACATGGTAGGCGTTTACAGACATTTCTGAGAATGCACTGCCACCATCTTGAGTGCTGAAGAGCGAATGAAGCAAGTAACCAATGAGGATAAATCTTGATCATTGCTCCTTAATGCTGGTTTATTGGCTCAATTTTTAACCATGAAAATGGGGGCAGTACATTCCTTCCAAATATCTGAACTTCTAACAAGATTACGAGTCTTCACCTCTCAGAAGCCAGAACACTTCATAGTCACCTCACTGAATACCTCAGACACATAAATTTGGTACAATGTTTGTATGATCCCTCCACAGGATATCCGCTACAGTCACGTGTGCACGTAGCACAATGTCTAGCCGGTCACAGTGGCCGCGCGGTCTAACACATGAACTCTCTTCACCCGCTCAAACACTGGGATCGTGGGTTCGAATCCCACTTGAGGCATGGATGCCTGTGTGTGATTATTCGGTGTTTATGCTGTCCTGTGTGTAGGTAACGGCTTTGCGACGGGCTGATCCCCCGTACAAGGAGTCTTACCGTCTGTGTAAAAAGATCAAGAAACTGAAAAAGCGGCCAAGGTCCAACAAAGGGCTGTAGAGGCATAGATAGATAGACAGTCAGACAGAGAGACAGACAGATAGAGAGAGAGATAGATAGTACAATGTCTCACACTTTGATTTAAATGTTCACAATTTTCTGTCTGTGGCTCGAATGAGCCGTAAATTTGTCTGAATTATGNACAGATAGAGAGAGAGATAGACAGTACAATGTCTCACACTTTGATTTAAATGTCCAAATTTTTCTGTCTGTGGCTCGAATGAGCCGTAAATTTGTCTGAATTATGATCTCGTGTCTGACGACGGGGTTTGAGAGGGGCAGAATGGTCTATATCTTAGTGCGTGCTACAAGCCTGTGAGTAACAGATGGAAACCCCAGCAGAGATGAGTGTATATTTCTAAGGGGCAGGGTGAAGGTGACTTAGGCCCTGTGTTTAATTAAGCACAGCGCCATGAAGATGCATTGAGGAGTATTCTTAACCTCGGTACTAGATGGAGGTGAATGGTTGAATTCACGCTCCGGCCAGTTTATCTCAGAGGCTGGGTGGACCCCAGTGTCCCCATACTGGGAATCGAACCATGATTTTCTGGTCTTATTCGTAGTTTAGTCACTATACTGACTGAGCTATCCCAGTGCTCAAGAAGTATGTTGAAATATGAATCGATGTGAGATCTGAGGCACTGGCCGTGGTAAGAATCAAGCTTACAGTCGTCTAGGATGTAGTTCGCTTGATGTCTACAAATATTTTACACTGAAGAAGGAAACAGCAGGCTCCTTAGAAACGTTTATGCCTATACATCAGACTACCCAGCTTCAGAACCGATAAAACTGAAACCTGAACGTTCGCAGGTTTGAGAAATCTTCCTATTGTCAGTCTAAAATATTTTGAGCGTATGTCATGAGCAGACAGTGACTTACATCTTTACTTCATTGTTGTATTTCCAACATAGATGGAAGGAACTGGGATAGCTCAGTCAGTATAGCGACTGGCTACGGGCTGGACGGCTGAGGGGTCGGAGTTCTAGTCCCGGTAGGGTCAAGAATTTTCTCTTCTCCAAATCGATCAGACCGATTCTTGGATCCACCCGGCCTCCTATCCAATGGGTACCGGGGGTCTTTCTCCGATGATAAAGTGGCCGGGGCGTGTAGCTGATCACTCACCTCCAGCTTGTGCCGAGGTTAATAATGGTGGAACTGTACCTCCACTTTCCCACGTGATTTCATGGCGTGGTGCTTAATTAATTAAGCACAGGGACAATTATGCCTTTGCCTTACTGTGGGAACTAAAATCACCATACTGGAGATCCCGTAGAATTCACGGGGCTTTCCTTCCATAAACTCAAAGACTTTTCACGCCATGTTCATGCACGCTACAAATTCATCCTTGGTTCTGTATGAGTGTAAAACTTGGTCTCTGACATTAAGGGAGGAACATAGACTGAGGGTGAAGAAAGTCGTCTTCTGGGTTTAGGCACCGTGTATTCTTCGTTTTGGCCGACGTTAGGGAGGAACGTAGCGCCTCCATCTTCAGAGCAGTTGAATGGCTTGGAATGCGGAGAGCAGTAGCTGTGGTGATGTGAAAGGTGCTGCTTATATACGAAGTAGGCAGGGGGGGTGGTTAGGGAGAACGGACCAATGGGAGCAGTGGGGAGCGATTAAGACCATATATGGTGTGTGTTGACTAAGGGAGGGGGGGGAGAAACGGCCAGAGGATCCAGGAACCTTGAGGTCAATAGCACTAGGAAGTACTGTAGACAAGAAGAACCGGTAGGTTTGGGGACATGCTATTGACGTCAATGACATGACGAAGAACTGGTGTGGCTAGTTGGATTCTCTTGAGGGAAGAGATGCTACCATGTGTGTCACCACAGCTACTGCTCTCCGCATTCCAAGCCATTCAACTGCTCTCAAGATGGA